GGGCGGGAGCGGCAGGAAGGAAGGCACTTGCGTTCGGAGGAAGCAGGGACAAGGGCCAGAAGCTTTTGGGGACTACTGGGACATCGCTTCAGCCTGGAGCTGCAAGAGAGCCACACGGCGTGATCCCAAGGACAGGTCCCACTCCGGACACCCCTGGGGCCAGGGATAATCTATCAGGAGGGCTGCCAGCTTTCCCCCAGCCACCCGGGAACGGGGGTGGAAGAGCAGGAAAGTCCAGCCACCCCCGGCACGACACTAAACCCCAAGTGGGGATCGCCGTCAGGATGGGGGGGTTGTCCTCTGCCTGCATCCCAGCATCACCGCCACCCCAACAGATCCAGGCGGGCAACTCCTCCCTCTCCAGGCACCCCAAACGTCTGCGGGTTACAGCAGCTCTTCACATCCCGAGTTCAACCTGGGAGCTGGGGCGGCAGGCGCTGCACACGTCCTTACCCCGGGCCTCGGCGCTCATGGGCAGCAGGGGCATCGCCCATAAAGACAAGGGGGACCGAAGAGGACCGCGCTCTGTAAGGTGAGGCGCATACAGATGAAATGACACACAGCGGAAAATACACAAAATAAAAAGAATGACGGTGTCACAGCCAGCCCTAACAGACAGAGAGTCCTCCTAGGAAAGAATCAAGCTCCTCTAAGCCATAGGTACCGGTTTTTTGCTGGCTCAGGACAGGACCCCCCTGTAGTGCAAAATGCCAGTCCTCCACTTCCACTAAATCAAGGTGCTTTAGGTGGTTTTCTCCCGACCAGCCCTACACAACAAAGCCAGCAACCAAGACCTACAGTGAAGTCCGTTGCGAGCATCCAGTTCAAAGACAGACAAAAGAAGGTCATTTCTTTGTGCCTGTTGCTACCAACGTTGCTCTGGAAATCACAGGAAGATACTCAAAACAGTCACCTGAAACAGGACCGAGAGCAGCCTTAGAAATGAACTTTTAGCGCTCTGCATTCAGTTTTGAACCCAGGGTAAATCAACATATGAGAAAATTCCAGCATTTGTGTTTAATTTTCTTTGTTAACCTAATTAGCTGTACACAGCAATTTTCCCCAATTTACAGCTGGCAACCATCGCAGCTCCTTGTAACAAACCACCCCTTAAAAGGCGAGCCACCTCCACTCACTCACGTTTTTGGCGACTTTATGAAGAGAGGCAACTTCTTTCTTACAAGGTTCGAAGGCAGGAAGCTCCCGGGGGGACTCGGTGGAAGCTGGGCTGCTGGAAACGCACATTTTGCAAACAGTAGCCACAGAGCAACACAAAAACTACACGCCCTCTCTGATACAGCAAGCAGTAAAACAACTCTTAAAACAAAAAAAAAAACCTAAATTAGAGACATTAGAATTACAGATCAGCGTGAATATTTTTTCTGCTCCTCGGGTGCATGTAAAGTTGTGCGTGTGAACAGGTGCTAGCGGTCTCTCCGGCAAAGTAATTCATTTAACCGTAGGGTTGGCTTACACGGAGATTTACTCTCCTCTAAATAAGCACATGTGATTAACAATAAGCAAGAGCAATAATGAAAGGAAAGAAGAGCTACCTACAGAGAGGCAGAAAGGCTTGCAAATCTATTCCATGCAAGAAATTTTAACTTCTCCAATATTTTAGGTTTTAAAAAAAAAAAAAAGGGGGGGGGAAGGAGGAAGGAAAAAAGGTAATTGCTTATCACAAAACAACAACTAAACTGGTATGGCAAAGATAAGCACGAAATTAATCAGCGTTTGGAAATGAACATACACACAAAGGAACAGTGGAAAAATACACTTCGCTGGTGAAGATGCACGAGTACAATTTTGCCTGATGAAATAACATTTATTACAGATAAAGTCCACAGCAAAATAATAGAGCAAGAGTTAAAGGTTTATTCTGCCACCTAAGAACCTCACATGATAAGCTCTGAACTTCTTTCCCATAGAATCATACCCCAAAAATGGCAAATATTCTGCCTCAGTGTTAGAATATGTGGAAAACAAGAATTAAATTTATGATCAAAAGAGGAAAAGTAAAACCTTAAAAATAATGCTGAAAGAACACTGCAATTTGCCTGCCCAAAATAGAACACGTACATCGCCACCAAATGAAAATTACAAGTTTGCAAGCAACTGGAGAAATTATAAAGCAAAGATTAAAACAAAAAAACAAAAAAACCACCCCACCAGTTGTAAAGATAGTGGACTGGAGGAGGGACACAGAAGGGAGAGGGAGGACAGGCATTTTCAGCTGTCCCAGGTGTCATTTATCCCGCTTTGCTAAAACAGGGGGAGGTTCCCCCATGCCCAAAAAACCCAGCAAATTAAATGTCACTACACTCCCATAGACGCAGGCGACGTGCCGGATCTCCAACGCGCTCGGTTCCAGCTGCAACTAAATGGCACGTCGCTGCAAAAGGCGCAAACCCGATTCCCCCCGGCCATCGGGGAAAACGCTGCTCCTGAGGGATGCCCAAGCTCAGCTTGCCCCCCAAAACCACCAGGTCCTCCAATGTCTGCACCTTGGGCAAATTGCTCAGGTCATGCTTTGTGCTACAAACTGGCCCGGGGTCCATCCTGCTCCAATCCACAATTCCAAAAATGGAGCTGGCATTTCCAACTTTGATTAACACTTTTAGGAAAAAAAAAAAAAAAAAAAAAAAGTTGCTCGGGAAGTAAAACCTTCCCAGGTCAGTAAAGTCCCGTTTCCCTCGCCACGTCCCACAAAAAAATTACTTTTGCGAGCGTGGAGGACACACACGGAGGAGGAAGAGGGGAGGAACCGGCAGCGCAGAAGCGCTTGTCATACCCCGCGCCGGACCTCCCTTCCCCGTCTGGGTGAGGTTCCCTATTTAAAGTACGTTCATGATTTACACGGGAGATGACTCCATCTGCCACAAAACTGCATGTGAAGGTCAAGCAGAACTAAATAGCCGGGCGGCCGCGGTACCAGCCCACGGTCCCCTCTTCTTCGGGTCAGGGCAAGCCATTCCCCCATGTGCCACTACTCAAACGTTCAGGCCACCACCACCGCACCAAGACTTTCCCCCTCTCTGCCAACCCTTCCCCCCCCTCTCCATCCCTTAATATTGCTTACTTCAAACAACTACCATGAAAATGAATCATGGAAATTACACACAAAGCTGAGACCATTCCCTCTAACCATTTTGGGCAAGCGCCCTCACAGTTGCTAGCACTCGCTTTTCAACTGAGAGCAGTGATTCACACTCCAACATCAAAAACCTGCAAGATCTTTAAACGATTAAATCTGCCCCTACCTCCTAATGCAGCTTGTTTTGCACAAATTCTATTATTGGCTTTAATAACCAGAAGACACATCCAGGTATATTTAAGGCATCTGGATAATTTTATACGTCAGGCTTAATTTGTACTTTATTCCCTCCCCCCCCCCCCCCCAAACTCTGCTAACAACAAAAACAAACTGCTTAATGCAGTAGTAGCCCCAGCAGTAGAGCGACACACAAGTCTTTGCCCTCACCTACCTCTAATTTGATATTTTAAAAGGAGGTCAGATTTAAGAGTAATTCCTTTTGAAACCAGGGAAAATTCGTCGTTCCCGCAGTCTCCGTAAGACCACCTCCACAAGGGCCATGCTGGCAGGTATTTCTCCTTCTACCTCTTGGACAACGGTTGTCACCTCCCCGGTGAGGGCAAGCGGGCACCTTCAAACCCTGCCTCTGCGCCAGCAGGCACTTAAAATCTGACAGGTTTAACAAAAACGCCCCAAACGTTCAGATCAGTAGGGAAGGAGCTGGCTGCCACCC